TTATATTTAACTAGAGGTCTAGTGAGTGAAATTTGTGCATGGGGAGAGAGGGGTGTTCCCCTCAGCCCAGCCTGCACTCTTTCCAACCTGAGACATCCCTCTCACAATCCAGGACTGCTGGCTCCTAACTGCTCAATTGCCTGCCTGTTTGATAGCCCTTAATTGCCCACCTGCCAGCCTGATCACCCCTAACCGCCTCTGCTTACTGGCTTGCTAACTGCCCCCAATTGCCCCCCCATCAGCCTGGTCACCCCTAACTGCCCACCTCCCCACCAACCTGTTCATCCTTTACTGCCCCCTCTGCCGGCCTGGTCATCCCAACTGCCCCTCTCTGCCAGCCAGGTTGTCTCTAACTGCCCCCTCCCACTAGCCTAGTCACTCCTTACTGCCCACCCCCCCAGGCCTGGCTGCCCCACACAGCCTCCCCTGTTGACCTGGTCACCCATAACTGCCCTCCCCCCTGCTGGCCTGGTTACCCCCCAACTGCCCATTCCTCTGCCAGCCTGGTCGCCCCACACAGCCTTTTATTTGGTCATTACTCTTACTGTGATGGCATCCTGAACAATTTGCATATTCCTCTATTATTAGATAGATAGATAGATAGATAGATAGATAGATAGAGTATAAGAGCACATGAGAGTATGAGAGAAATTACTTAAAAAGCTGCTGCAAGGATTCAGATGAGAGACAATAGTGGAAGAAGTAGGGGAGGTGATTATGGTGGAGTTGATAAAGGAGGGAGGAGTTCTGAATGTATTTGAATGGCAGCAGAATCTGATGATGAATTGGATGAGGAGAGTGAGAAACAGACTAATCTAAGACCTCATCTTCTCTGATTTGCAGAAGAATAGCACATTTTATTTTATTTCTGTCTTGTTGGGATGGTGGTAAGATAGACTAGGTGGGCATGGCAGGTGGGGCCTGTTAAGAAAAGCTCAAGTTGGGCTTTATTCAGTCTTTGCATGTGCTGTTCTCATGGGTATATTCCTCAAGTTTCAGATGTGTTTCTTGCATTGGTTTCCTAGGATTGCCATAACAAAGGACCACAAACTGAGTGCCTTAAAGCAACAGAAGTTTGTTTTGTTGACCAAAAATCTAAAATCAAGGTGTCAGAAGGGTCATTCTTCCTCTAAAACTTTGGGTAGAACTCTTTCTTGACTCTTCCTAGTTCCTGGTGGTGGCCAGTAATTCTTGGTGTTTGTTGGCTTATAGATTTATCAATCCATTTTCGCCTCCATTGTCACATGGCTATCTTGCTGTGTGTCTCTGTTTTCTTACCTTCCGACAAGGACACCAGTCACATTGAATTAGGATCCTACCCTACTGCAGTATAACCTCATCTTAACCAATTACCTCTGAAGGGGCATATATCAAATAAAGTCACATTCTGCAGGATCAGGATCTATGACTTTAATATACCTCTTTTGGGAACATAATTCAAGCAGTCGTGGAAATGATGAATCATGGTAGTGTTCACTACAAACCTGAATATCCTGTGGTAGTTGTGTTGGTTTTTTTCTCCTGAGAGTCTTGTTTTTTTTTTTGTTTTTTTTTTTTTTAACATTTTTTGGAGCTTTCCATCTCTCTACCTATCAGGAACTTCCAGATTGACAATCATAATGAATTTTTAGTATTCTTTTCTTTTACCAGTTCCTTTTCTATGGGCTACCAGTGAGAATAGTGGGACTACTCTTTGAAACTTTTTGAAGTTTAGAATATACCTACTTATTTAGCAGATTGCTGTTATTTTTTTTATTAATTTCATTAGTTACCTGAGGAGGAAATATGTGGCCCAAGGTAACTCTACTATCATTACCTTGAAGTTTAATTTCAAATATTTCAGCGTAACATTAAAAATATGTATTACAGACTATTATCAAGGATTGTGTATAGTCTGAGATTTTACCCTACATGCAAACTGACAAGTTAGCCTATCATAATTTCATGGATGCTGGTGGAATAAATAAGTATCAAATAAGTATCTTGAATCAGAGATAAAGGGCACTTTATAAATCACAGACATAGCAATGGCCAGATTATTAGCATTTTCACCAGTTTTCTAACCCCTAATTTCTACCAGGTTATGTGAAGAGAATAAGAATATACCTGCAAACACAATTGATTGCATTATAGGAGAGGAACCCTGAGTTTAGGGCATCTGAATCTTTTATAATGGACAGTAAGCATGTTTGCCCTTTTACTCCAGAAGAAACATTATGTTTATTATGCTATTTTAGTAAGCATCTCTGACCTTTGTTGTGGAGGGAGACACTATCTCTGTCTGCCAAGGGAGCAAACCTACACTTTGCTTCTGAGGAAGAAATTATCTCTATCTTCCAAGGCTATTTAAATTATATATATATATATATATATATATATATATATATATATATATATACACATACATACATACACACAAACAGCCTTGAAAGTATATCTCAGTTGCAAGGCATTCAGAGGTGCTAGGGGCCTATAGATAATTATGCTCCAACCATTGTTATGAAGACATATTTTCTCATAAGAAGTACTTGTGGTGATGTTTTTATAGTTTCCAGAAAATGTGATAATTTGCATAAAGTTTTATAATCACAATATACTTAAATGTTCACCCAAAATTCCTGCATAGAATTATAACTCTGTGCCATATGCTTCAGTGTGCATTTCATATGTATTGTGCAGTAGGTATAATAGGGTCTTTGGAAATAGATAAGATTATTATTATTATTATTATTTATTATTATTATTATTTTGCTAATTGGGCTGTGTTTTTATCCCTGGGTGAATAAAAATTTCTTCAAGGTTGTTTTCCCATTTAACCCAATTTAATCCTCAGAAAAACAGGTCAGGAGAGGTTTAGTATTTTACCAACAGATTGGAGAGGTTTAGTATTTTACTCAATACTAAACTACATAGTGCTAATAGAAGATACCAAGGATTTAAACCATGGCCTATCTGACTCCCAACACTGAATTCTATGAAGTATCTGGTATATTCAGTAGGAGGTACTTTACATTTAGTAGTCAAAAGTTCTGAGATAACTAAAATGTATTCTAAACTACTCCTTGGAAACAGACAAGTAACAGTTGTATTACAGACAGAGAAATCAAAGCAGAAAACATTCCCAGAAACAGACATCTATCACTGCTGTTATAGAAGTAGTTTTTAGAGAGAAATTTGATATAAAAAGAAATTGTCATTTATCCAGGCCTAGACATTGTTTTTGGCTGCTGAAATTGTCTGGCTAGAATAGCTAGTGAACATGAAGTCTGATTTAGATTTATACATTTATTGATTCATGTGTGTCAAAACATTGGGACAGGGGTTGGAAATATTTATTTTGCTAGTCAGAAACAGAAGAAAGTTTCCTGTTTCATTGGCTGAGTGTGGGAGTCCTGAGCAGTGCTCCAGGTACTTTAGCTGTTACACAAACGAGAGTTACATCCCACTTACATTTTCTCCTCTGTACTTGGCTTTCTCAGGTTTGTCTAATCTCTTCCACTTGCCATTTTACTTTGATTTTGTTATATATTTACTGAGTGTTGATGAGATGAAAACACTGTAGAAATACCAATTACACAGGATCCCTTATCAATAAACTTACCATAGAAATGGAAACATCAAGTGATATTTTTCTGGGATGACAGGTGCATATTTCTATTTTAAATTTATTTCCAATGATAGGTCAGTAGATTCTTAAGTTGTATACAATCTGAGCCGATCATCTGACATGTTTATTTTGCTAACCTTTAATTTTTAATTTGGTTGGCCATTGCTTTCATTATTGCTAGAATTTATGCTATTCTGTTTTTCTTGTTTATTGGTATAATTGACTCTACTGCCCAGATGTTTGGATAGAGTGCTGTTGCCTAATGCTAATACTTAAGTCTAAGGAAAGGAGCTTTGGTCACAAAATAAATGTTTATGTCTGCGACATGCATTTGACTTCCCATGTAATGTGAGGTTCCTTTGTCCTAATTAATGCTGGATTTATATTTTGAAGAATGCCAATTAAGTGCAAACTGGCCCTAGAAAACAAATGCCTTTTGAACAAAGGCTGAGTGCAATAGGGAACAACCTATTGGCAAAATGTCAGAGTAGGAAGCTGAAGAATTGCATTTTAATCCAGATGACTACTTACTACATTTCTAATTTTGGGCAAATCTCAACCTTTTGGTGACCATTTTCTTATTTATAATGAGGACACATGAACATTTCTCAAACTGATATGTGCATAAAATAATATCTGATCTGTGCATATAAAATGTGTATGCATTTATTACTTATTAATTTTATTTATTCATTTTAACTTCTGTATGGCATTTAAACAAACAAAATCATAGACACAGTCAACAGAAGGGTGATTTTCAGAGGGAAAGGATCTAGGGGGAGGATCAAGAGTGTAAAGTGGATCAATATATGGTAGCAGAGGGAGACTAGACTCTGGGTGGTGAGCACACAATGCAATATACAATGGTGTATTACAGAATTGTACGCTAGAAACTTACAATGTTACTTACTAATATCATCCCCCATAAATGTAGTGAATTAAAATTTTTATTAAGTATTGTATAAATTTCTATGTTCTAGTTTCCATTGATATATAATAAATCACTCCAAAACATAGAGGCTTGAAACAAAAACCTTCTCTCCCCTCCTCTTCCTTCTCTTTCTCCTCCTCCTCCCTCTCCTCCTTCATCCTTCTGCAGTTTGGGCAGAGCTTGTCAGTTCATCTCTGCTGGGTAGAGTTCCTCACAGCAGGGTGGCTGGGTCCAAGAGACAGGAAGTGAGAGCTCCCAGTTTCATAAAGAAATGAACATGGCATTACTTTTCCTACATTCTAAATTTTCACAGAATCTCAATTCAAGGGAGGGACCATAGTCACCATCTTTCAATGATGGTTCTTGAACTGCTGGAAAATATATCCTGCATCATTGTAAATAGCATTCCCAATGTTTTATTAACTCTATTTTTCCCCTTTAAAATATGAATCGTCAAGATGTGCCACGGATTCGGTAGTGATGGCTTCTCTAGCTGGGTCTGAGCCTAGCCAGCCCCTCCCCCAGGAGATTGTTGTAGTTGGCCAGCTGCTGCTCCACTGTAACCATGTGCGACCGAAAGGCCGTGGTCAAAAATGCTGATATGTCAGAGGAGATGCAACAGGACTCCTTGGAATGTGCTACTCAGGCATTGGAGAAATATAACACAGAAAAGGATACTGTGGCCCATATTAAGAAGGAGTTTGACAAGAAGTACAACCCCACTTGGCACTGCATCATGGGGAGGAACTTAGGTAGTTACATAACACATGAAGCCAAACACTTCATCTACTTCTACCTGAGCCAAGTGGCCATTTTTCTGTTCAAATGTGGGTAAAAGCATGAACTGTGCTACACACCCAGTGATCCATCCAAAAATAAGGATTGCAGCCTAAATTCCATATACCAGAGACTGAAAATCTTCAACTTTGCCTAAAGGAACCCCTTGATCTTGAACCTTTATTGTGTTGTTTTGTACAAGGTATTTGCTGTATTCATTTGTTTTTATAAAACAATTAGCAAAGAAGCTTACATTTGTATTTATTTTCTATTCCATACATTTCTGCCCCATGTTTTTTCTCCTCAAAATGTATACCTTTTCCAAAATAAAATTTGTCAGAGGAAAAAAAAATATATGAATTGTCCCTTAATGTTATACAGCTTCCCTCACCATTGTCACTGGTTATTTAATATTTATGTAATTTCTAATGAATCAAACAGACAGAGGACTATAAAAAGAAGCAAAACACCATCTATTTTTTTGTCACCTATCCCTAAAAGTAAGACTCATAAAAATATGCAATAAAATTTGAATTAAGAAAAAATGAAACACATTACTGAGGAATTCTTATTTGATGTGACATCAATATATCATCAAAAGGAGGGCCTACAGCAGAGTTAGTCATCAATTTTGATAAGTTATAATATAAATACTAGTACACTATGTATGAGCACATTCTCACCATTCTACTCGATGTCGCTAATGAGTGTCCTCAGCATAAAAGGATAGGAGTCACAATCAGGTCAGGAAAACACTTCACATGATGGGGGAGAGGTTTATCACAGTGAGCTCAGGGTGGGGTGGGTTCCAGGGTTTTTAAGCAGCTCCAAAATAGTGCAATAGAATGGAGAGACTGTGTGAACAGAATGGACACAAGTCCTTTAAAATATTCACTGAAGCACAATCTCAGAAGTTTTAGCAGAGTTTTAGAAAAGTTCAGAATAGTTTAATTTGGAAGATACATAAACAACCTAAAATTAGATTAGTGTCTTTGTGTGGGAGAAAATAAAAGGAAGATTAAATTCATATAAAATACTAGCCAAAGCTAAATCCCAAAGACTCCGCAAAAAATAGGGGCATCTGTTCTGGCCCATCTCCTTGCAGGAGTCTTGAGGAGGAAGAAGATGGCCAGGTGAGAGTAGTTTGTGTCCTGGTCACCTTCCGAAAAGATTTCCCTAATTCCTCAAGCATAGCCAGATCCTTGACCCAGCTGCCTGCTCTCCTGACAGCCGTCACCTGTGATGGCACTTTCATGTCTGTTACAGTTTATTTGGCTATGTGCGCCTCTGGTTCACTTAATATTACCACAATACCATAATTTATGGTATTTAACTGAATTAGAATCATTGAACAAATATAGAGCTTTGTATTCCTTAAAGTAGTTCATTCCACTTCTGCGCACCTCTCCTCCCTCTTCATTATTGGCATAAAACAACCTTCTTGTTCTCTCTGAACTAGAGAAATACAGAGTGGCCAGATTATTATGATCTCTGAACACATAATAATCTCACGACCCAGTGTAGATGTCTGTTGAAAGAGCCTTGAGAATCATAAACTGATTTGTTTGACCATAGCCACATCCAATGAAGACTTAAGATTAAAAATAAAAGATGGCGGCTGGCAGGACAGAGGTGAGGGAGAGGAAGTGAGTGAGTGAGGGTATGAAAGGAGAGTATGTGGTTGTGTGTGTAGTGTGAAATTGAGTAAGCGACAGTTAAATCTGGCAGGAAGAGCAGGGGCTGGCAGACCAGTCTCTCCCTGGACTGCAGGACTCGGGCATGGAGCCCACTCCATCTTGAAGGGGACAGTGGCCTTTCCTAGGAAATCATCAGCACCACCACCCAGACAGTACTTTGACACTGCCCACGACGCAGCAGCCACTCCAGCCCAATCCTGCTAACCCAGCTGAAGACCCACAAACCCTGGGACCTCCACCTCCACCGCTCCGGCAGCTGTAAGTGCCTCTTCCCCCTCCCCAGCGGCAGAACTCAGGACACCACTTTCGGGGCGTGCAGGCATCCAGGACACACCACTCCTTAGGCAGCACCTGGGAGCCACAGGGAGCCCGTCCTGGGTGTGATTCTATACAGACAAGGGCGCGCTGCCCCGCAGTAGAAATCCTGAATTTCCTCTGCCTGAATAACTGCCCACAGACACCCCAGCTGTGTAACTTCAGTGCCAGGGCCCCTCAAAGTGCATCAGAGCTGTGCACATGCAAACTCACCGCCACAAACTTGCACATTTCCTGAGGGCAGGCACCCTGAGCCTGTCTATCCACAGGGCCCTCCGGGGAGCTGCTTGAGCTCCTGCTGGGTGTGATTCTGCACAGACAAGGGTGTGCTGCCCCGAAGTAGAAATTCTGAACTCTCTCCACCCCCCTCTCCTCCCCAGCTGCTTAACTCCAGGGCTTCTCAAAGTGTTTCAGAGCTCTGCGCCAAATGCACCACCAGCCCGCGTGCACATTTCCAACAGGCAGGCACCACCGATTCCATCTATCTATCCACAGGGCTCTTTTTTTTTTTTTTTTTTTTTTTTTTTTTTTTTTTTTTTTTTAGTTTCCCTGTGGTAGCAACACTTAACACATGTTTTACTCTCTTAAGAATTTTTTAAGTGCACAATACAGTATTATTTTAAGCCATAGCCACTATGTAATAGTACAACAGATCTCTATAACTTAGTGATTTCACATAACTGAATTGTTATGCCCACTCAACAACAACTCCTATTTCCCCCTCCCCACCAGCCTCTGAGCCACCTTCCTACTGCCTGCATCCATGAGTTTGACTATTTTATTTATTTTTTAAATAAATCTTTATTGTTCAGATTATTACAAATGTGTTCCTCTTCCCCTCCCCCCCCAGCCCTCAATTGCTCCCCTCCACCAGGTTCCCACCCCACCCTCTGTCCTTTCCCCATCCCCCATTGTCCTCATCCATAGGTGCACAGTTTTTGTTCAGTTTCTTCCCGCACCCCCCCACTCCTCTTTTCCCTGAGAATCATCAGTCCACTCCCCTTCCATACCTCTAATTCTATTATATTCACCAGTTAATATTGTTCATCAGATTTTTTAATTCCCTTGGTTTTTAGATTCACTTATTGATAGTTATGTATTTGTTGTTCATAATTTTTATTTCTTCCTCTTCCTAAATAACCCCCTTCAGCAATTCATATAATTCTGGTTTGGCGGTGATGAACTCTTTTAGTTTTTTTTTTTATTTGTGAAGTTCTTTATCTGGCCTTCGATTCTGAGCAATAGCTTTGCTGGGTAGAGTATTTTTGGCTGTAGGTTCTTGCTATTCATCACCTTGAATATTTCTTGCCATTCCCGTCTGGCCTGCATGGTTTCTGTTGAGAAATCAGCTGACAATCGTATGGGTGCTCCTTTATAGTAACTACCCGCTTTGCTCTTGCTGATTTTAATATTCTCTCTTTGTCTTTTGCTCTTGGCATTTTAATTATGATGTGTCTTGGTGTGGTCCTCCTTGGATTCCTTTTGTTTGGGGTTCTGCAGGCTTCCTGGACTTGTAAGTCTATTTCTTTCCCCAGCTGGGAGAAGTTTTCTGTCACTATTTCTTCCAGTATTCTTTCAGTATCTTGCTCTCTCTCTTCTGGGATTCCCATAATTCTGATGTTGGTTCACTTGAAATTGTCCCAGAGGTTTCTTACACTATCTTCAACTTTCTGGATTCTCTTATCTTCTTGCTTCTGAGGAGGAGTGTCCTCTGGCTCTTTGTGTTCTAAATCTTTGTCTTGATTCTTGTGATCTTCCATTTTGTTTTTATGACTCTGTAATATTTTTTTATTTCAGACAATATTTTCTTCATTTCTAGTTGATCCCTTATTATTTCTAGTTGCTCCCTTTTCATATCCTCATAAGACTCATTTATTTTATCGGCCTTTTTTAGGATACTGTTGAATAACCTTATAACTGTAGTTTTGAACTCAATGTCCAATCTTTTTTTTCTTCCATCTCATTCCTTCCACAGGGCTCTTGTGGGAGCTGCTGTGAGTCCTTGCTGGGTGTGATCTTGGACAAACAGAGACTCACTCTCCCTAGCGATAGACATTCTGAATTTACTCATCCTGGATACCTGCACACAGATACCTCAATTACATGGCTTCAGTGCCAGGGCCTTTCAAAGTACATCAGTGCCCCTCACTGGCAAATGCACCGCAGATGCCTGTGAGCCTCCACTGGGAGTGTGCACATATCTACCACAGGTGCAGCAGCAAAAGCTGAGTTTGTCCACTGCACAACTACAGAACTCTGGACACCACACTCATGCCTTTCCAGAATACAGAACCTTTCCAGTCGTAAGACTCATCACCCCAACAGACAGTTCCTGGGTACCACTGTGAGTCCCCACTGGACACATGGGATTTCAATTAAGGGTGCAGGACAGCAAAAATTGGGAACCCTCCCCCACTCCATGGCTCCTGACTTCTAGACACCACAGTTGCACCTTTCCAGCTAGTACTAGCCATTGCGATCAGACAAGAAGTAGAAATAAGAGGCATCCAAATTGGAAAAGAAGTAAAACTGACCATGATACTGTATGTAGAAAACCCTAAAGGCTCCATCAAAAAATTATTATACTTAATGAGTTTGGCAATGTAGTAGGATAGAAAATTAATGCCAAGAAATCTGTGGCATTTCTATACACCAATAATGAACTTACAGAAAGAGAGACTAAAACAACAATCCCATTCACCATCGCACCAAAAAAAAAAAAAAAAAAAATTAAGGTACTTATGAATAATCTTAACTAAGGAAATAAAAGACCTCTATGGGGAAAACTACACAACACTGGAAAAAAAAAGAGATAGAGAAAGACATAAACAGATGGAAGAACATACCATGTTCATGGATTGGTAGAATCAACATAATCAAAATGTCCATACTACCCAAAGCAATATATAAATTCAATGCACTTTCCATTAAAATATCAACAACATATTCACAAACCTAGAATGAACTTTCCAAAAATTTATCTGGAATAGAAAAAGACCCCAAATAGCTGCAGCAATCCTGAGAAAGAAGAACAAAGTAGGTGGGATCTCAGTACCAGGTATCAAGCTGTATTCTCATTTTTATTCCTTCTCTATCAATCTCAGTAAATGGCCAAGATTTCTGCTTAACAAAGGAAGATGAAGCGTGAGTTCCCTTGCTCAGATTTGTATTTATTTAATCATATTAATTTTTCCTTTAATCTAGCCCTTCCATTCAGTTCTAGAGCTG